AGCTCAGACTTTTTATCTTAATTAGGGGATTAGGGTGGACCACTCTCCCTGAGGAAGCACTCCAGAGAAGTGCCCGTGGGAACCAGACATCCTGTGCTAGAAAGAAAGTGTGTTAGGGTCACGGGTGTCTCACACAGGACACCAGAAGACGAAAGCTTGTTTTTCTTCACAGGTTTCTGAAGAGCATCAGACAGACAGTATGCATCAGATGGTTCAACTCAATTTTGAAATGTGGTGGCACACTAAGGTGCTATATGTATAATCTTGTTTCTAGAACCAGAAGTACCATCTTTGGATATGTTATTAGCCAACGTGAGCTGGCTTTGTTGGCAGACTACATTAAGTAGCTTCTTTAGACAGTCTGTTAGTACAGTAATCACACAGCAGCCATGTTATTGGTCGGATAACATCATTAAAAGGCTCCAAACGGCTCCAACAGTACAAACAGAGGTCCAGTTCAGGGAGACCAGTTAGCGGAAGCGAAGCCTAGCAAACAGCTAGCAGCTATAGCCACCTGTGTCACTATCCACCTGTCAGTCAAAGAGGCCTCACCCCAGCAATGCAAACTTTAAACCTTAATACAATTTAAAAAGATGAGTTACAAACTAAAGGGTGAATACAGTATAAAGGCCAATTCAGTGATTGTATCAGGCTGTAAACATGTTTATTTCTGTTGTAAAGTGTTAATATGGGAGTCTATGGGTACTGACCAACTGCTGGCGCCCCTGCTGGACGTTAAAGGAACTGCAGCTTTTGGTACTTCCATGTTGGGTTTACTTTTCAGACCCATGTGTTGTCCCTTAAGCGATGACTTCAAATGAATTTTTGTTGAGAGAAAAGGTCTTTCTACAATTAAAATACAGAGAATAAACTGAATTCTTGCTTGGTATTAATTAATTTCAGGGGTAACCTTCTGATTTCTCATGGGTCAGCAGACTGAGAAGTCCCACCAATGTTCTCAGGTTTGTGGACTTTCAGCTTTTTCCACAGCTGTTCAGTTTCCTTAAGATCAGAAATTAAAGCCTCCCGTCATCATACACACATATTTGGGTCATTGTGCTGCAAGTGAGACAGACGCTCATTTTTGGAGCCTCAAGTGGACATTAGAGGAACACCACTTGTGAATAAATTTGAATTTTGCACAAAGATCACTGATGAAGACAAAGAACAATCAGATATGAATCTGACGTATTAAACAAACAATACATTCATGCTCTCAGGCTTTTTTAAGGAATGGTTAAAAGGTGTCCAACAGTCAACACAAATCTAAGACAGGATGGACGTTCTCATGAAAAGTGATGTGAATAAAATGTGTTACAGCAGCAAAATTCAAGTTTACAACGAAACATGATGGCAGTCTCCTAGCTGAACCCGAGGAGGAGATGACAGGACAATAACAGCTCACTCGCTCAGAGAACAGCTTGGCAAAAATATTGCTTAAAGCAGGGTCGAATTTAGACTGCTGGGCATGTTTGAAAGGCGGTGGTAGACATTTGGAAACAACAGTTGATGATTAAAAACTCCCCCTGATACAAGATGAATCACACTTCGTGATTGCAGGTCTATTGTTAACTCTGCTACTTGGCAGAAAATTAAGTAATTTTACCCAGAGCGTTTCTGGAGATGAGCTTAAATATGTTTAAAGCACTTAATTTTTTGTCTAAACTCTTCCCTCAGCAACTGTCACGAATACCAGCAACACCAGGCAAACACAGCTGTGCAAACCAAACATCACATGTCCCAGCAGCTCTGCAGACTTCCTGAAACATGTTTCACATTGATCGTTCTTGAACAGATCCAGATTGAGAAGCTACTTCAATGTCTTCGCCAACATGTGGGAGCTGTGAAGATATTCAAATTAAAACTCCCTACAGCTTCTCCACCACCTGCTGTCTGCTGCTCAGCATCGTTACAGTTTGCAGACCGTTTAATGAGAAAAGCAGAGATGCTTCAGCACCACCAAACATGGCTGCCTTTTCCACAGGACGTGACGTGGGGTGCCAACTGCTGCCATGGAGGAACGTCATCACGAATCAAAAGAGGAATTGCTGATGCCTTCAAAACAAGTGTTTGTGATTTCTTATTTAGCAAAATTTGAAACATAATTCTGCTTAAATATGATGCTGTATTAATATAGATCAGCCATTTCCAGACTTGCAAGTTCAAAGGCCAACTTTCAAGTCTCAAAATCTCCTGTGGCATATGAGGCTAAGACGTTTACTGCTCCCAAAATTTTTAAACTTCTGATTCTTTTGTTGACTCGAGAAATAAAAGATAAAAGAATAACACTTAATTAACTTACATACTTTGCTATACTCAGGTGGCTCTTCAAATTAACATAAATCATACCAAGTGCAAAATTAAAACTTTATACACACAAATAAATCCTTCCTTATGATCCAGTATTAGCATGTGTATGACACATAATAATATGATACATAATAACTTAAATATTTTTATTTAATTTAGATCCTAACTGTTATGGACTGTTAAGGAGGATTAAAACTTTCACTGAAAAAGCCTCTAACTCTTGTTTCGCCAATTTGTAAAACTGTTATTTAAGATAAAACAATGTTTGAACGTTTGCCCGGTGCCTTTTTTTGTGTAATGTATCTCTGTTAGGGCACCGAGCTGCACACTAGTCTCTGACCCTGAGCTGGATAAGCGGAAGAGAATGGATAGCAGGATGAACGTTCATCGTCCAGGAAATCAAAAAAAAGAAATAATTTGAGCTGGAATTTATTGTAGTGCTCCTTGGTACATTTGAATATTTCTAAATTTTCACAAGCTGATTATGACTGGGAACCAATAAGAAGATTTTGTGAGACATTTCTGTGGAAGCAGTACATACTGCCTCTGTGGGTACCTGTATAACGTACAAGCTATAAGCCTCCTGTCCCTTAGCTGTCAGCTCAGAGGTTTTTCCTGCCTGTACAATCAGGGTTGAAGCCGAGCGAAACCATCTGCAGCACAGAGAATCCCCCGAGCACCCGCACACTTTACTCACATGGTCTAGATTCTGTCCTCATTACTTCTGAAGGCAGCATGTGGAGGGGAACCCCGGGCCATGGGCATGTGTCGGTTTTTTTTTTACCTTGGAGTGTTTACCAAGCAACAACGTGTCTGTTTAACATCCTACTACAACCTTGTTATTGTCCTCCTAATTAGACTTACTGACGCTTTGCTTTGTTTTGAAGCGTTGAAAAGTGAACAATGTGGCACAAATTAAAGTAGAATTCTACTTCTAAATACTTTAAAATGCAGTTTTAATGGGCCAGAACCCCTATACTGACAACTGCAGTCCTGTAGATAACATTGGGATCTAAAGTTATCCATTTATGGATATTTTTCATAGAGTAATATTTAGTTATGGTGTTTAGCTTTAATGTCCATAGAAGGATTGAAGACTAAAAAACATTAAGAACTAGTAGTCTAATCCATAATCACCAAAATATGACAAAATTGGTGATGTTTCAATGAAAGAGACTTATGATGTACTTGAAACACCACTTCAATGTCCATAGAAGGATTGAAAACCTTAACAACAACAACAACAACAATAATAATAATAATAATAATAATAATAATAATAATAATAATAATAATAACAATAATAGCAAAAGCGTACTTTACATTTCCACCTTTTGAGCTTTTGCCTTGTGTCTTATTATTTTAATGGTACTGACCGGTAAGTTAAAGCCACGTGCAGTTTGATGAACCAACTCATGATTCATTCATGATTTGCTTTAGGTTTGGTTTCAACTGGATGGAAACCTGGCTTAGTGAAATGGGACAGCACGTTTAACATCTTTCTTTTGACATAATTAGGGCAGTTTCAGCCCAGTTAGAGGAAATAATAAATTGCCAAATTTAGACCACAGAATGTTCTACCTCCAACATTCACTTTTAATTATATAGTATCAGACAAAAGTAATCTGTCAGTTGCTTCAGGATGCTTTATATCTTAAAGTAAAAAAGTTATAACTGACTTGCAGGTGCCTGGTCTCTTTTACACTCTACTTTGAAGGGAAACTGTGGTGCAGCTGATTTTACTGAGCTGAATACATGAACTTTGTATTTCTTTGGGTGCGACTTGAAGGGTAACGTTGTCAGTAACATTAGCTGTGGTTGTTTCTGCTGAGCTCCCTGCTGTCTGCCAACACCTTCACGGTTCAAAGAGCTCTTGCATCGCCAACCCTATAGAGGATTCGAGTCCCTGAAGCAATAGGATCCACTAATGGGCACTCTGATGAGTCACCAGTGTATTTGAATACATAAATTAATAGTGCAGGTTTAATTATTTAAATTGAATTCCAAATATTGATTTAAAAATACCCGTCTATTTGCCTTTTACTGGCTCTTTATATTTTTCACCTCTTCACTTTTTACCTTAAAATCCAGTCACAGAGCTGAGCAGCCAAAATGTTAGAAAAACCCACACCAGTCGACCTTTCAAAAAGGTCTTTGGAAACTCTGACTCTGAAAGTATTTCCAGAATATTCCAAGACTGTTTTAACCAACTGGATTTAACCTTCTAATATCCACCAGGTACCTGGCAAACCTTTTAGTGTAAACTTTAGGGCAGGGGTCCCCAACTCGAGGCCTCAAGGGCCAGTGTCCTGCAGTTTTTAGATGTGTCCGTGATCCAACACAGCTGATTCAAATGGCTAAATTACCTCCTCATGTCTTGAAGTTCTCCAGAGGCCTGGAAATGAACTAATCATTTGATTCAGGTGTATAGACCCAGGGTGAGATCTAAAACCTGCAGGACACCGGCCCTCAAGGCCTGGAGTTGGGGACCCCTACTTTAGGGTTATATGGGCTTCAAAAACTAGAGTTGTTAAATGAGAGTTAAATGTCAGTCTCACAGTCTTACAGTTCTTCAGTTATGTCCATTTGTGTATGCAAAACAGGTGAAAATTACAAGGAAAAGTTGATGTGAACCTAAACTAGTGATCTGGCAGATGTTACGAGGTTAAAAACATCTTGCACAACCCCCCCCCCCCCCCCCCCCCCCCAGTAAACAACCAAGAGCACAAGAGACGACTAAACAATCCAGATATTTTCTATGACCATTGATACAAATCAAAGAGAAAACAACAGTTGTGACTGTGTGCTGGTAAAAACTTTTTTCAACAAAACAAAATCATTGCTAAGCTCCTATAGGGTTCAAATTGTACTATAAAAGTGCTGTAGTAGACAACTATTTATCTTCACATATGTAATATGTCTCATTTGTTAGAAGACTGATGAAAGAAATTCTCAGCAAAAGACTGCCTTGAGTTGCACAAGCTAGAACAGCAGAGACAATCCTGAAGGTAACATCAGGACTTTGCACCTCTGTTAAGAAACATTCATGGCTACTGGGACTTGAAGGGAAACTACATTAATAAGAGAGCTACAGAAGAGCAGTTACTTCCCAAGAGTCAGTCCTTATGCTTGTCTTGTCCTGACTGCATCATCAATCACAGCGCGAGGGTTTGGGTTGGGCTTTGATAGCATCCTATTAAATCTAAATCTCTGATAGAATCTCAGCTTTCATGCTTTGTATAACAACTTAAAAACACAAGTCAAAGATCAGCACAAGGTGTCAAAAATTTCTAAGAATCAAAAACCCTACCTGATTCAAATTTGGCTGATCTCAATCATTTTCTTGCGACAGTGTATTTGCCAGACTCACCTCAATCCAACTTTGTCCACTTTTCTAAAATTGAAATTAAGATCAGTGTTTATCGTTTTGAGATTGGAGGAGATCCAGCTCTCATCGCTGAGGCAAAAGTAGGTCATAATGGGACTTCCAGTTCAATAATCTGAACTGGAGATGGTTAAATTTAAATAACTTTTAGCCCATTCCCAGAATATCTTGAACATATATTGTTCTATATGTGATTAGTTGCTGCTGGACGAAGCCAGAAACTGATGGATGATCACTGAAAGATCTCTGATGAATACAGATTTTTCCCATTTAATAGTTGGAACAAACTTATTTATATAGCTGGTTTATAACAAATTATATAATCCAAATATTGGAGCTCACAAGTAAGCTGAAATGACTGAACAAGTATAACAGATAAAGATACTTGATAAGAGACCCTTAAAACACCAGAACTTAATAAGTCTGGGTTTCTTGATGATGAGAAACCAGACCCAAAGTAGAATCAGCTATCAGTACCCAACACCAACTACCCTCATTTAAACAGCCTTTCATTGCTAGTCAGAAGATTTCCACTGATCCACTTTAAGCTAAAATCAGGAAAAAGTCTGAAGTTTTGTATAGTCTTCCTGCTGAAATCTATAGGCAACAGTGGATGTCCCCTCATCTTCACCTCATTCAAACATTCTGATCATACCAACCAGTCCGGACAGCAATGGGTTGTTGGTGGCGTCTTTAGCCATTAAGTCGACTTCGCCCACCGGCTCATTGGCATTCTTAGTGATTTCATGCTGAAGAAACATCTTTCTGCTCGCTCTAATGTTCCCGATCTCTGCGCCGCACTGGGACCGCAAACAGCGGCAGGGTCCTTGAGGGCGATGACAGCTCGGGGTCAGAGTTTGTCGTGAGTGGGTCTCTGGCCTTGCTGCCGCAGCGGTCAGGTGGCATGGCAGACAGGTCTTGGCAGACCTCATAGGAGCACTTCCTCTTCTGGAGGGCCTCGGCTCGAACAGCCAGGGAGCGAGCACATACCGTCAGGAGCACAATGAGTGTGCCCAGAAGGAGGGAAACCATTGGCCAAAGAACACAGTGTAACAGGACACTGGTGTCATGGGAACGGCGCCACAACACGTCATCAGGCCTGAAATAAAAAGAAGAAAAAGTAAAAGCACGAATTTAACATGGTGTTAAAACACTACTCTTGGGATTGACTGTTAATTCACTGACCTCCTACAGGTCCTTCTACTTTTACTCCTTTTTCATACCAAACCATCTCCTGTCACTAAAATTAAAGGCTTCCTACTAATATTTCATGTTACAGACAATGAAAGCAAGATAGAAGCAAGCACCCCCTTAATCACATCCCATCAGGAAAGCTTTGTTTGAAAGTGCCGAATCAGGTGAGCAGTAGAGTAATTTTTCCACAGTAATGACAATGATTTTTTTCTATAAGAGGAATTGCCCCCTGCTGGTCATTAGAAAGAATGCAGTTAAGGTCCATGGGCCTCACTCGGAGTATATTTAATGACTAGCTTGCTTAACTCAACAAGTGTTTATGTTGTTATTCATTTAGGTAGTATAGCTAATGTTACATTAGCTGGATATCGTTAACTGCAATCCCACATCGGCATACTCAAATAGACATCTTACTAAAGATAAACAAAATCTATCTCTCCTTTTGAAAAGTGGCATTGTCTCATTTCTGAATCTCAATCTTCACATGATTAAAATGAATTGTACACCTAACAATTTAACAAAGAAAGGCAAAGCTGCTTCTATGTAACAACAAAAACTAACAGCAAATTTCCCAAAAATAGAGTTAAGCTATCTGCAGTCTAACTGAGCACACATTCATCTCCACAGTTAGCTGTGGAGCATCTTTAATCATTTCAGGGTCCAAAAAAGTTAAAATGTACAGCACTGCTGTTACTTGTAAATGAAGACAGAAAATTAAATATCAGCAATGTTTGGGCGGCTGGTGAAGTCTTACTAGTTGACAGATAGTGGTGTGATAACTGGTGGCTAGCTATAGAGCTGTGGTTAGGCTAATACAAACACATTAGTGGAGGGAAAATGGAGGATGAGGGTTAAAAAGTGTTCAGTAAAGTTCATGCTGAAGTGAGCATCTAAATTCTGGGCCATTATGAGATCAGTAAGGATTTTGTGAACTGTGAATCATGCCGATGCTCTAGTGGAATCCCAAAATAAAAATTAGGGAGTTGGAAGTGACCAGAAGAAAGATCTCCTCCAGCTGTGCACAGTCTAATTTAAGCTCTCATACTCTGACTGACACCACCAAAAAGTTTTGGGATATAACCTTCATGCCACCTCTGAAATAAGCCAGACATCTAGAGACTACATGCTTTTCTAAACTTAATGAAAAAAGAAACTTTGCGTGTTCCAGTTTGTTCTCTAAAACACCAAAGAAGAGCTGATGTGTAGCATCAATGAGCTCCCACTGGGGCCTCATTTATGAACCAGCATTTCCTCATTCGGATCTTTCTGGTGCAGAGATAAAAATAAAACTAACCAAGGTCACAGGTAAGCACTGACGGTGAATTATCGGAGGATTAAGCTGACACGCTAAAGTAGATCTCTGGCTTTTCTTTGTCTCATCAGTTTTTTGGACAGAGCCTGAATAAAAAGAGAGGAAAGAAGAGCTTCTTCAAACATCTCTCCTCCTGCTCTTATTATGTTTCACTGCAGTATTTATTTTCAGGTTGTAACCTCAGCATCCTTCTGCTGTTCTGCTCAGTATCTCCTGCTCACGTCTGATAATCCACCTTCATCATACTGTTGACCTACATTTTCACCTTTATGTCATCGGTAGTGTGATAAAGGAAATTCAGAAAGTCAAAATATCTTATTTTAGATGAACAGCAAAGTCATTTTTTTCTGCTGGTCTCTATTTGACTCTGCAGTCTTATTTTCACTCTGGAAGAAAAAATCATTCTGATTAGTGTGATAATCTAGTTTGAAGCATCATCTACCCGAATTCCTGACAACGTCACTGCTGACAGTACACGACTGATTTTTTTAGGTTTAATTTTGTACTTGTTCCATGTTCTATAGACTGAAATTATTCACTGGTTAACAAGATATATTTTGAGAATTCAGGCTGGAGCCTGAATTGATGTTTCACATTTTTTAATTAAAATAACAATAATGTATAAGGCATTTAAAATCTGAATGAATGAAGTGGCTCTGGGATTTTAATTAAAGGTTATTTTTTATTCATTTAAACAATTTTTGGTCCAACGATTGAAAGACCAACGGTTTGAGGATTTTTGGCATTTGACAGGATTTTGTTTGAAAATGCAGTATAATCACTTTGTTTTTCATCATGTTTTATATGTATATTTTTTATGTATTTAAATATTCAAATAAGCATGAATGAACATTTCTTAAAAATGCATCAAAGTTAAAGAGCTAAGATTCCACTTCTCATCTGAACCTGCAACATAAATTCACCCTGAAAGCAAAATGTAAATAGAAATCATGTATAATGCACACAGAGCACTAATGAAACCAGAAGAAAAGATGAATATTACAATAAAACTATAGTAAGATAAACCTTTAAATGAATAATATGATGGTATTATTAGACAGTAGGTAAAACATGGCATAAAAGAAATAAAAATTTGAATTTATATTAAAATTTTAAGTATAGGCATGAAGTTTGAATCCTTCTAGGGCACTGACAAAAAATGACTTTAATTATAAGTTGAAGTGGAAAGACTATTAAAGTGAAGTCAGAGGTCACTTCTTGAGGGTCAAAGGTCAGGAACAGCAAATTTGAAAGTGGAAAGTGTGTCTGTCAGAAAGTCCGGTCATTCGTCTTCTGTGGTAACAATGATGTGACAGGATCACACTTTCTTTGATTTCCAATTTATCTGAATCGCACCTCCAAATAGACTGAGCTGTAAACGTGTGCGTGAGCCTCACCGCCGCTGCTGGTTGAAGAAGCAGATGAACGACTGGCTGTTGACCTCTTTGGTGAAGTAATCCTCCCACCACAGAACGCTGTCTCTGTTCTTCTGGTTGTCCCTCTCACACGGAGGCACAAACGAACACTGCGACAAAAAATTCAGCACAAATATTCAATTTAATTTACATGAAGTTTTACATCATATAAACATCATCAGCACACTTAGACATGTTTACAGCCGGATACAGAAACTGTTCTCTTTTCCTAACGCCTGTATTTAATAACACACCTGTTTAAAGTTTGCATTATTAGGGGCGTGGCTTCTTTGACTGACAGGTGAATGGCGACTGTTGTGGGATTTCTCTTTAATGTATTGTCCTTTAATGCATTGTCTTGATGAAATGCTTTCATGTTACTTAGTTTAGTACATCTGGTTCACACCTCATTCACGCCGGAAAACAGACGGTGAGAAACTGGTGAATGTCTTCCAGGAGACGAAAACAAGGAGACGGAACCTCACACAGGAAGACTTGACCCCAGAGGGGGGGAGATTCACACAGGTGATAGAGAGTCTTTCTGTTTAGAGACAAGGTGTGAACTGCAACTGTAAAAGCCTTTTGTTCTGCGACTGTGTATAAAAGGAACCTGAACTGTTCATTGTGAGAGACGACTTTCAGTGCCCCCTGACTGACGTCCCTCCTTATGCATAAGATAGCTGAAATAAAGGTGTTGTTACAACTCATCGTGTCTGCAGGATTTGGTAATTAAAATTTCCACAACACGACACAGCCAGCTGTAGCTGATAGCTGCCTGCTAGGTTACACCTCAACTAACTGAAGTGGATCTCTGGACCATGTTTGTGCTGCTGAAGCCTTTTGGAGCATTTTAATGACATGATGTGACCAATATGTGGCTGCTGTGAGGTAACTGTACTAACAGCATCTAAACAAACTACTTCCTGTAGTTTGCCAACACTGCTAGCTAGGACTGGCTAATAACGTATCCAAATATAGCACTTCTGGTTTTAGAAAAAAGATGGTGAAAACCACAATGGGGTTCAAAAAGCTGAGCCTGGTTCTGCTGGAAGTTTCTTCCTCTTAAAAGGGAGTTTTTCCTTCCTACTATCATGGAGCTTGCTCATGGTGGGTCTTCTGATTGTTGGGTTTCTCTGTATTATTGTAGGGTCTCTACCTTAAAGTGACTTGAGGTGACTGTTGTTGTGATTTGGTGCTCTATATATAAAAAAAACTGAATTGAATTAAATTGAATATACAGTTTGTGATGCAAACAGGTGAAAGCAAGATTCAAAATATACAACATATAAACTGTGCAGACAAAACTTAAAGGGTTTGACAGAGTGTTTCAGTGTTTCATCACATTGATTTTGTGGCAGCTCTTAAATGAATAAATAAATGACAGTGATTACTCGACAGGAGGTGCTCTAATGAGGTCACAATAATCTGACAAGTTTAAAGGGGGGTCAGCATCGCGTTGTTTTTCTTCAGTTTTATTTTCAGCGAACAAAAATAACCTCTGTGACACACACACACACACACTCAGATTCATGTAGCAGGAGGTTGATTGGTGTCTGGCTGGTTCCTGTGAATCGACTGGTTGCCATGATGATGACTTGATTGGTGCAGAGAAGGGGCAGGGGGTCGTCTCCATCAGTCATGGAAGCTGTGGACTCTGTGGAACTGTGGTGGATGTTTTTAACCGAATCAGAAGCTCAAAGGTCAAAAGCAGAACGGCGCATCTCTCGCCAGCATGGAGCCTCACCTGAGTTTGTGGACAGTAGGTGGAACTAAATTAAAGATGACGGCCAGCTAAATGATTCCTCTGGAGGGGCAACAGCAGCTGCTTGGATTGGCTTCAGTCCCTCCCTGAGTATGTGTAGTCACCGTATGAAAGCAGAAAAAAATCTCTTTGAGCTAATTAATGCACATTTATTCCCAACAAAGCTCAAGAATAATCAACCCCTCTTCTCCAGATGAGGTACCAGTGTGCACAGCTGTGGCCCCAGATGTGTTACTGCCGAAATACGTTACATTTATTCTTTAGTAGAGCAAAAAAATCACCTAAAAACCAAAACTAATGCAAATCTACGAACGAGGATTAGGGCCACTGGAAGTAAAAAAAAAGTGGGCACGTCTTTTTTTTTTCTTCTTTTCCAGAATTCTGAAATTAAAGTCAGAATTCTGACTTTTTTCTCAGAATTCTGGAAAAGAAGAAAAAAGAAGAAGACGTTCACACTTTTTTTTCTTCCAGTGACCCTAATCTTCTTCCGTACAAATGTCATAGAAAAAATAGTCTGAAAAAATTAAAACATACAGCTCTGCTATCACTTCCAACATAAATGAGGACAGAAAACTAAACAGCAGTGACTTTTGTAGGGTTACTGAAGTTGGGCTAGCTGGTATATAATGATGTGCTACGTGATTGCTAGCTACACAGCTATGTAAGCATAACAAACACAGGGGAGCTGGAGGATGAATGCTAACTTTTTTCCACTCCATAAAATTTAATGGGAGCATTCCAGATGGTTAGAGACAAATGCAATCACATAGCAGGATGCTGTAAATGGACCAAACTTCAGTCAGGAGAACAACTGAGATAATCCATCCACAATACGAGGTTAGTCATTAATATACTGAAACATGGGAATAAAGCAGCTGCAAGAGAATGAATCAATGGTACAGAAGTGGAGGAAGCAAGAAGAGTGGCTTGAGGAAAGTTTGACTTATCTGACTGTTTTGTTTCGCTTAATGTGCCTTATAATCCGGTGTGCCTTATGGTGCGAGAAATACAGTAGACCTTTGAACGGTGCTAGAAATTAAGCTCTTTTTTTGCAGCTTTGATTCACCGGAGGGGCTAATGGGGGTGTCCCTTATTATCTATCGAGAGTTTTTTTTAATGTGGGAGTCTGTGGGGACTGACTCACTGAGGGAGCCTCTGCTGGATTTTAGAGGAACTGCAGGTTTTGATTTCACTACAATGGATTTATTTTTCAGACCCTGGGGTCATCGCTTCACTGTGGCCATGGCTCCAAGTGCATGTTTAGTGGGGCAGGTCTGTCTACAGTTAAAATCCTAAGAACTTGATGAATTTTCATCTCGTTTGGTATTAATTAATTTCTGGGGCAGTTTTCTGATTTCCCGTGGGCCTCCCACTGAGAAATCCTGCCAGTGTTCTGAGGACTTTCAGATTTTTCCACAGCTGTTCACTTTAATTAAGATCAGGAAGTAAGGCCCTTCTCAGCACACTCCATGCTTTTTACATGCATATTATTCTGTAGCAGGATTGCTGAGCTGCGACCAAGTCAGACTCTCTCTGACACCAGGTGGTTTGTTTCCCTTACTGATAATCTTCTGATTATGAGTCCAGCGCAGGTTCAACACAGCCAAGCAGCCCAATAACACACCTGAGCCTCGTCCGTGTTTCTCAGCAGGGATGCTGTTGTTTTCTTTTAAGGTTTATTCTTCTGTGAGCGCTGAGCTTGTGTGACTCACTGAACTGCTCTTATTCAGGCTTTTTCAGGCTGGCCTCTGAATGTGGGTCTTCCCTCATCGAACCACTTTCATTCAGAAATATTTTTATGGTTGTTTTCACACCTTTCAAATCAAAACAGTTTGATATGGCATCAGTTTTAGGAGTGATGGGGAGGATTATTTTCTAATTTCTCTGAGTTGCTTTGAGAGTCTTGCAAGATTACTGGCTTAGTGAGGTAACCTCATGTGTTATGAAGCAGGTGTTTCACTTATGTGACATAACAACTCAACATGTACATAACCAACACCTACTAACCAATCAGCTCCCTGGAAAATTATGTCATCATTCCTGCAAAAGCCCTGATGGCAGTAGAGTTCTTTTAGATATAAAGTTTCTCATGTTTGATGTCAGGAGCAACTTTCTCTCTGCTGAATGCGAGCAATGATTTTATTGATCTACAAGCCTCGATATGTTGTTAGGATGATGATGAGAGCTGCGGTTTTTCACTGTGCATAATTTTCATAGACAGAATTGTAAGTGCAGGTAAGAGGAGAAGGGAGATGGTTCAGGTGGTGTCAGGATCACCTCTCTGCTTTTTGCAGCTGATGTGGCTCTGCTGGCTTTGTTTTATGATGACCGTTAGCTCATACTGGGTGGTTTGCAGCAGAGTGTGAAGTGGCTGGGAATTAGCACCTCCAAGTCTGAGGCCGTGGTTGTAAGATGATAACTGAACACACCCACTCCAGGACAGGGACGAGGTGCTGCTCACAGTGGGATGAACAGAAAGCTTGTCTCAAACGAGTGAGCATGAAACCAGGTAGTTGGTGTTTAAACATTCAGCTACAACCATGGGCTCTGGGTAACTGAAAGAATGAGACTGTGGATTTAAGTGGCAGAGATGAGCTTCCTCTGGAGGATGGCTCGGCCTTAGGCACTCAGAGCTGAGCCACCATTCCTCCACTTGGCAAAGAAGCAGCTGAGGTGGTTCAGCATGTGATTATGATGGCTCCTGGACTCCTGGGTGGTGCATTCACTGTCTGCCTGCAGAGTTGGAGGTGGAGTGAGCGGTCTGGGGGCTACTCCTGCTTGTGCCGCTGTTGGTCCGCCAGAAGGAAAAGACAGATGTTCTAAGTTTTTTGTGGTTCCCTCGTTCCCTATTTTTTCCTCACTTGTCAACCAATCCACATCTAGCAAATGCTAACTTTTACGCAGATGGACACATTTGAGGGACCTTGGGACCCTTTGCTTAACCTGAATTACACTTTAATCCTGGCCTGGAAATGCTTTTATGTCCCCAGAGAAGAGCTGCAGGTGACGTCTGAGGAGAGTGAGACCTGAACATCACTGCTGCCCTGACAGCCTGGACCCACATCAACTGCTGCAAAATGAATGGGCTGCTGCAGAAGGCTATTATGGATATCCAGTCCAAATACAGGAGAAATAGTTAACTAGATTTGATTTTAGATTATCTGAATGAGTGGACTTCGTGTCTGAAAGTGCCCACTGCTCACTTTCTAACCACAGGTGGTATTTTTTGGAGACCTTTGTCTTTTATCTAAAAACTTACACTTAAAATCTGAGCTCCTCAGGTCTCATTTGCTTGGGTGTGAAGTGGTCTGCCTGTGATATGTTGGACAGTTACTGAGAGTGCAGAGA